CTCTGGGTTTTTTTAGTTCTTTACTTTTCTTGTATAATTCTTGGGAATCTTAAAGTTTCATATATTTTCTTGGTTTCCTTCCCCAGGGACTTTGCTAATATGGATTTGATTTATTCAAATCCTTTTGTTAACTTTTTGAAATGCATAGTAAAGAAATATTTATGGAATTATACTAGACTGACTAAAATTATCTACTTTAATGATTGGCAAAAAGAAAATATTCACTAACTGATTATCCTCTTTAAGAATAAATAAAATACTGATATTCAGGCAAAAATGAATTTGAGCATGTTAATTACACCTGTGCAAGGAGTCATACAATTCTTACCCTACCTGAAATCACATGCTGTAGTAACCTCTGCTCCTCCACCCAGGGCCCGACCTTGAACTAGTGCAACACTTATTAAAGGAAGTCTGTATATTGAAGGAAAAAGGAAAAATGGATGTTAATATTTTTAATTTTGATATTTACAAATACTTTTAAAACTTAAGATGCAGTAGAAACAAAATTACTGAACTATGTTTATAAAAATAATCACACCTCAAAGTATAGAACTATTAGCCAATGTATCATGAGCAAAACAGTATAATAATGAAGATAAAATAATTCATACTAAATGCTATGTAAGCTTATCAAAATACATCCCTAAATCATTATATATTTTTAAACTATAGACATATCAACTTTCTTCCAAATAAATGGATGTTTTTGTATAATGCAGGCACTCCTCATTTCATTGTGCTTCGCTTTATTGCGTTGGATTAGGCTTTGGCTAACAGTTAGCCAAGTTGTGAATACAGAGGAAAAGTTCTTGAAGGAAATTAAAAGGGCTACTCCAGTGAATATATGAATGATAAGAAAGCAAAACAACCTTACTGTTGATAGGAAGAAAGTTTTATTGGTCTAGATAGAAGATCAAATCAGCCACATTTCCTTAAGTCAAAGCCTAATCCAGAGCAAGGTCCTCACTCTGTTCAATTCTATGAAGACTGAGAGAGGTGAGGCAGATACAGAAGAAAAGTGTGATGCTAGCAGAGGTTGGTTCATGAGAATTCAGGAAAGAAGCCATTTCCGTAACATAAATGTGCCAGATAAAACAGCAAGTGCTGATACAGAAGCTGCAGCAAGTTATCCAGAAGATCTAACTAAGATAATTCATGAAGGTGGCTACACCAAACAACAGATTTTCAATGTAGACAAAACAACCTTATATTAGAAGAAGATGCCATCTAAAACATTCATGGCTAGAGAGAAGTCAACGCCTGGCTTCAAAGTTTCAAAGGACAGGCTGACTCTCTTGTCAGGGGCTAATGCAGCTGGTGACTACTAGTTGAAGCTAATGTTTATTTACCATTCTGAAAATCTTAGGGCTTTTAAGAATTATGCTCAATCTACTCTGTGCTCTATAAATGGAACAACAAAGCCTGGGTGACAGCACATCTGTTTACAACGTGTTTTACTGAATAAGCCCACTGCTGATTTACTGCTCAGAAAAAAAAGATTCCTTTCAAACTATTACTGCCCAGGGCTTCCCTGGTGGCACAGTGGTTAAGAACCCACCCGCCAATGCAGGGGGCGTGGGTTCAAGCCCAGATCCGGGTAGATCCCACATGCCACAGAGCAACTAAGCCCGTGTGCCACAACTACTGAGCCTGCGCTCTAGAGCCCGCAAGCCACAACTACTGAGCCCACATGCCACAACTACTGAAGCCTGCGCACCTAGAGCCTGTGCTCCGCAACAAGAGAAGCCACTGCAATGAGAAGACAGCGCACCACGACAAAGAGTAGCCCCTGCTCACTGCAACTATAGAAAGCCCGCACACAGCAACAAAGACCCAGTGCAGCCAAAAATAAATAAATTTATAAAAACCAAACTATTACTGTCCACTGACAATGCCCCTGGTCACCCAAGAGCTCTGATGAAAGTGTACAATGAAATTAATGCTGTTTTCATGCCTGCTAACACAACATCCATTCTGCAGTCTGTGGATCTAGTAGTAATTTTGACTTTCAAGTCTCATTATTTAAGAAATACATTTTATAAGGCTATAGCTGCCATAGATAGTGATCCCTCTGATGGATCTAGGCAAAGTCACTTGAAAACCTTCTGGAAAGGATTCACCTTTCTAGATGCCATTAAGAACATTTGCGATTTATGGGAAGAGGTCAAAATATCAACATTAACATGAATTTGAAGAAGTTGATTCCAAATCTCTTGGATGACTTTGAGGGGTTTAAGACATCAGTGGAGAAAGTGACTGCAGATGTGGTGGAAACAGCAAGAGAACTAGAACTGAAGCCTGAAAATGTGACTGACTTGCTGCAATCTCATGATAAACTTTAACAGATGAGGAGTTACTTCTCATGGATGAGCAAAGAAGGTGGTTTCTTGAGATGGAATCTACCCTGGTGAAGATGTTGTGAAGACTGTTGAAATGACAACAAAGGATTTAAAATGTTAAATAAACTTATTTGATAAAGAGCGGCAATGTTTGAGAGGACTGACTCCAATTTTGAAAGAAGTTCCTCTATGGGTAAAATGCTATCAAACAGCACTGTATGTTACAGAGGAATCATTCATGAAAGGAAGAGTCAACTGATGCAGGAAACTTCACTGGTGTCTTGTTTTAAGAAATTACCGCAGCCATCCCAGCCCTCAGCAGCCACCACCCTGATCAGTAAGCCGCCGTCAACACTGAGACAAGACCTTCCATCAGCAAAAAGTTTACGATTCACTGAAGGCTCAGATGATGGTTAGCATTTTTTAGCAATAAAGTATTTTTAAATTAAGGTATGTACATTTTTTTTAGACATAATGCTATCGCATACTTTAATAGACTATGGTAGAGTGTAAACATAACTTTTATATGCACTGGGAAACCAAAAACTTCTTGTGACTTGCTTTATTTCGATATCGCTTTATGCAGTGGTCTGGAACCTAACCTGCAATATCTCTGAGGTAGGCCTGGATACAGCTCCTGGAACTTTTCAGCAGCTGGCAATCGGGAATAATTCAATGTGATACTGTCTTAGTCCATTTTTATTGGTATCAAATTATGGATGGGAAAATTAAGGCTGTATCCAAAAGGAAGAATTGTGGTACAGAAGATTGAGCTCCAGAACTGTTATTGAAGGTTCCTATCAAAAATGTTTTCATTACTCACTAAAATGACCCAGAGACTGATCCTATATAAAAGAATGGTTCTGAAGTAAAAATAAGTCTTGGGCTTCCCTGGTGGCACAGTGGTTGAGAGTCCGCCTGCCAATGCAGGGGACACGGGTTCGTGCCCCGGTCCGGGAAGATCCCACATGCCGTGGAGCGGCTGGGCCCGTGAGCCATGGCCGCTGAGCCTGCGTGTCCGGAGCCTGTGCTCCGCAACGGGAGAGGCCACAACAGTGAGAGGCCCGCGTACCAAAAAAAAAAAAAAAGTCTTAACCTTTTGTGTTTGCAAAGATCCACTTTGCAAAGTGTATTTAAAAGGTGAATTTAAAATGTTTTGAAAGTACAGAATTTTTTGTAGGTCTAACCAAAATGAAAAGGTGCAGGTCTAAAGTAATTGCAAATTTCTTAACACACACTGCTTCCAAATAAAAAGGATTTTTTTGGGCTTCCCTGGTGGTGCAGTGGTTGAGAGTCCGCCTGCCGAGGCAGGGGACACGAGTTCGTGCCCCGGTCTGGGAAGATCCCACATGCCGCGGAGCGGCTGGGCCCATGAGCCATGGCCACTGAGCCTGCGCGCCCGGAGCTTATGCTCCACAACGGGAGAGGCCACAACAGTGAGAGGCCTGTGTACCGCAAAGAAAAAAAAAAAGGATTTTTTTTTTTTTTTTTGGCTGCATCAGGTCTTACTGGCAGCATGCACGATCTTCGTTGAGGCATGCAGGATCTTTCGTTCCAGCATGCGGGCTCTTCCTGGCAGGGCACGGGCTTCTATTTGTGGCATGTGGGTTTTTTTCTCTCTCTAGTTGTGGCACACGGGCTCCACAGCACGTGGGCTCTGTAGTTTGCGGCACGCAGCCTCTCTAGTTGAGGTGCGTGAGTTCAGTAGTTGTGGCACATGGGCTTAGTTACCCTGCAGCATGTGGGATCTTAGTTCCCTGACCAGGGATAGAACCCACGTCCTCTGCATTGTAAGGTGGATTCTTTACCACTGGACCACCAGGGAAGTCCCTAAAAAGGATTATTAAAAAAAAACACCCAAGTTTTAAGATTTATTTAAGAAAAAGTCAAGTGTAATAGGGAGAAGTAGGTGAATAGGAGCTAAGACAATGAAGAAGGTATTTTAAACAGTAATGTTGATTCCACTTTTCTTTCTAGACTCACATACAAAGAGTACCAAAAATATAGTGATGTCCAATAAACAAGTATGCTAAATAAATATGAATTTCCTTAGTTATAATTATATTTAAATTGTTTACATTCAGAATATAGAAGTAGAAAGCTAATCAGCCCAATCATGTCACAGTTTGTAACCCCAAATACAAAATGACAGGCCCAAAATTTTCTCATTTTTTCTTCCTCATCTAGGTGCAAAGTGAATCCATCTTCCTCAGAAATCTATAAAAGCCTTCTCCAATTGGGAACTCTTTTTCTATCTCCTTGCAGATACAGACCACTTCACTATACATTCTACTAATTTTGAATATTAGGTAATCTTTATGTGTCATCTCTTGACCAGTGTCTATTCTGCTCTAGTAACAGTATTTAACCTTCCCATGTCTATACCTAAATATAACCAGATTATACCTAAATATCAGCTCTTTAGGGAAAAGTGCTATGTCTTTAATTCTTTTTATCTCTCATATTTTTTAAGAGATATTCTTGTATGTCCTTCAGTAACATTTAATTATATGACAATCCTTGATGGCACAAATAGTTCATCATTAGAATAAATATGATTAGAAAGTCAGTGACTGCTTTTTAACTACTGCAAATCACAGAATGAAGAGCTATTTTTGGTTTATTAGAAATTATATTTTAAAAACAAAGATACATTACCTCATAAATCTTGTTAAGGTGTTTTGCATGAACATGCATACGGCCATTCCATCCTTTAAATAAGAATAAGCACAAAGATACAATGCAAATGTATTATATAAGAAATTATTAAAAAACACTTTCAGGATTTAGAAAGTAATAAAGCCAAAAATATACCAAACTTTATAAAATGAGGTTATCATTTAAAACTCTTTGAAGCTGTCTGAAATGCAAATGATGCAGTATTTAACTGTGTGGATCTTCTAGGGTTCCTTGAGCTCAGCTTTGCATGCGCTATTAGTAAAGACTTAGATGTGAGAGAGAGAGAGTAACTCTCACACCTAAGTCACATACCCCAGAAAAGAGGGGAGTTCTACTCAGGGTAATTTGGAGGGAAGAGGCATAAGACAAACCCACCTATTATCCCAAACTCTGATCCCCTAAGAATATAAACATAAAAAACAAGTTTCCTAATAGTAGTGTAAACTCACTGTCCCTTCTTTTTTCCCTCATATACTTTCTTCAACTAGTATAATATGTGGTCTTCAGCCTTCTCTCAAAAGACTCTCCTCAAAGGTTTCTAATAATCTCCTAATTGTTAAATTAAATGGCTTTTCCTTATCCTCATCTTCCTCTGTGTCTCCGCAGTATACATAGCATCTTGCTTTGACCAGTTTCTGCATTTTGATATTCTCAGTTTCTAGCAACATCTTCCACTCCTGATCCCCTTCCTATTTCTTTGATTGTTATTTTCCAGTTTTCTTCTTTCTCTCTTTTTATTCAGCTAAATGCTATTACCAAAAATCCAATCCATGATTCTCTTTCTCTCCTTTATCTACAATTGTTCCCTTGGAAGTCTCAACCATTCCCATTGCTTCAACTACTGTTTTCATGTAGAGTCCCAAAACCTGCTAGAAATTTCACATTCTGCTAATACTTCAAATTCAGCATGGCAAAACCAACTGGTTGTGAAAAAGCTGGGTTTTAATCCTAGCACTGCCACATAATAATAACATAAACTTGAGCAGGTCATAACTATGAACTTCGGTTTTCTCATCCATAAGGAAGGAATGAAAATTTTAAAAACCTGTTCTATTTGACTTAAAGAATGGTTGGAAAGATGAAAATGTACCTAGATACTCTGTAAAAGATCACAGAGTGAGTTCTGAGTTAATAGGAAAGGTTTTCTGGTCCAAAAGGCTCAGAATTTTGATATTATCTTTAACTCTTCCATTTCACAGTTCTCCCATGCTAGATGAGTTAACAAGCATGTCCCCTCAATCCTTCCTTTGAAATATTTCCAATGCAAATCCCTTCTTTTTCTATTTTCTCTGCCGCAACACTAGCTCAGACTTGTGTTACTCATGCTTAGATTATTACCAACAGCCTTGCTTCCTAACTGGTCTCTCTACATTTAATTTCTTTTTCCTCTGTGATATATCTTGCATCCTGCCTGAAAAACCTCCCTGTAGGATGATAATTTCACATCACCAATAAAATGAAGTCTAAATTCCTTGGGAAGGATTAATCCCAAACTATTTTACCAACTTTATTGACTACTGCACCCCTCATCCAAGCATCTTAACTTCTGCAACGACAAACTATTTGTCATTCTTTTAACACCTTACAGTTACGGTTGTTCCTGTGTCTTTGCTTACATCATTCCCACTATTTGGAACAGCCTGTCCTTTTCTCTACCTATTTCAAGGAATGCTCAGATCAAATATTTTTCCATCAGGAGTTTCTAAATCCCACAGTAATAGTTTTCTCCTTTGTGTTTCTGCAGTATTTTTATTTTTCTAACTTAACTACAGAATTTATAGATTGTATACACTGTGTTTGGATTTATTATCAGTCACATCATCTCTACAAAATAAGGATAGGGAACATAATCAGTAGAATGTGGTCCCAGTTCCCAGTCCTCAAAAATCTTGTGAGAAATAAAGAAATGCAACATGCATCAAGGTATAGTATAATAAGTATTTTAAGAAATGCTTGAACAAGCTGAGAACAGTGGCAAATAGGAAACAATTCATTTCAACTGGGTTGGGGTAGCTGAGAAGGTTTTATAGAGGAGAAGGGGAGATGGCATTTGCTAGGCCTAGATAATAAAGTCTTTGAGGCTAACAAAATGCCTTCTTTATCCTCAGAAGCTAGTAGTACAATGTTCTGCATATAGTATGTGCTTGCTGAAGTTAACTGACTCAGATGAAGTTAAGGTGGAGAATTATGTTGATTCATAAAACAAAGGCAGTCAATGGTAGTAAAAACCAGTATGATACAAATTTCCTAACTGAAAGCCTTTATCAGGAAGGTCAGTCTATACAATAAAGTGATGAGAAAATTAACACAAGCACAAAGAGCTAGAAGGTTTAAAACTAGAATAGTTTATATTCTATTAAAAATCTGTCCTATAAAGCCTGTTAAATTATCTCAACAAAGTAATTTTAATGGGCTTATTTTCTATTACTAGATTTTAGAGTACTTAAAATACTGATGGAATTATTTAGAATTGGTAGAAATAAAAGTGAAGGGGGTATTAACCTATGTACTATTATGCTTCTCATTCAAAAGATAAAAGTCACACTAAAAATGTTTAAAAGCAATATGGAATAATAGATAACAACACAGACTCTAGAGCTAAACTGCCTAGGTTTGAATCTGGGCTCTACCACTTAATAGCTAGTTTGAATTCTGGCAAGATACTTAACCTCTCTGTGCCTCAGTCTCCTCACCTGTAAAATGGTGCTAGTAATAGTACCTATATCTCATTAGGGGAATTAGTAATAAATTACAACACAGAAGAGCTTAGAACAGTGCCTGACATACAGTACCAGAACAAGAATGTTATCTATCATCATTATAATTAATATCAGTAATAGCAATCAGATAATAAGGTATGCTTTGGCTTTAAATGTATCATAGAGATTACACTGCACTAGCCAACATGACCTAGGGAGAAGAAATATTTAATTTATTAAATTTATTCCCCAAAGCTATTGAGCCAACAATGACTAAATGTTCAGGCTTCTTCCTAGGCTACAGGATGAAAATAAGCCAGTGACAGAGAAACCCTGACCTGTGATAGAATAAACTGAAAGAAAGGAACCAATGAAAATCTAGACCTACTCTGATGAATGAAAGTTGGGAGCTTGGAACTTAAACTTAATAAAGGTTTTCAGAGCTGCTGCAGAAGGGGATACTTCCATCCTATCTGGATGATACCCTGAGACCCAACCTTCCTCCTCCAGCTCCTCCTAGAATAACAAAGATGAGACGCACAATGCCCAGCCTAAGTGCCAAAGGGAACTATCAACGTCATATTTACTCTAAACCACATGTATACTGAGTGGAAAAATGCCCAGCCTGTAAACATATCTTATCCTAGAACTGTTAGGGAACCACTGACAGAAATCATCTGCCCTGGCCAGGCAGGGTAATAACTGCTTGAATGAATTATCTCGCAACAGGAGGTCCTGATAAGGAAAACAGAACTGACAAGCTACCACCAGCCGGAAGAGAGGCCTAAATGAGGGAGGAGATGCCAGCCCATAATATGTCCTGCCAACCTCCCAGAAATCCTCACGCTGGAAACCATCTTGACTGAGAGATGTATGTGCTGCCAGGAAGTGGACCAAATATGGGCACAAGCAAGACGATTATCCAGAGACAACCTGGAAAGCTAACCCCATTACCATAAAACCTGAGACTACAAGCCACGTGGCAGAGCAGTTCTCCTGGGTTCCTTATACCCGGCTGTTCTCCGCCCAGGCACCCCTTCCTAGTAAAGTCTTTTGCTTTGTCAGTACAGGTGTCTCCTTGGACAATTCAATTCCGAGTGTTAGACAAGAGTCCACTCTTGGGCCCTGGAAGGGGTGCCCCTTACAGTAACATAACCATAAATGAGCCTCTTTTTTTCTCCCTAAGTGCTTGTTGTATATATTAATTTCCTCAAAATACATGGAAGGGTTTCAAGAAAATTATAATAGCTTGTCTACAAATTAATAAGGCTACAATGGAACTGTACAACAGTCATAGCAAAAGCAAAGAAGTTAGACAAGAACTTTGAGGTCGCTGTGGAAATTGAAGCAACAGAGAAATAGGGGGCAACAGATTGGTAAAAAAGTAACAAGGGAGGTCAGCGGACAACGGAGGATATTATCTTCCAGCTAGATTAAGAGTATAAAGGTTTCTAAAACGCCAGACTTTTCCTTGAGGCATTAAACCCATTCACTGCAGAGTAAGCAGGTTTTTATTACCCCAAATCTTGAAGCTTCTAATTGGATTTTGATTATTTCTCCCTCTGAAAAAAGACTTCTTTTAGTCTGCAGAACATTGGTAGTATCAATTCAAATCTTATAAATGGGTTAATACTTACACTAGATTTTTTCCTATTTTATTCTTTTTTTCTGTCCCATAACTTTTCAGGGCTAACGCTTGTGTTATGCTAATTCATCTCCCTGCCTGGACCTTCTCAACCAAGGATTAACTGCCTAATAGGAACAATTAGAGCTCTTTTCCTGCTCATTAAACAAAGGGTACCAATATGAAACCAACCTCTTAGAAGACCACATACATAAAGAAAAAAAAACTAGAATGACAGATAAGCAAATAAAATGTTGATGACTGTTGATACTATTATGAGTACATGAGGGTTTCAACGTATTAGTCTGAGAAGAAAAATATTGCCTGTCATATCACTAAACAAAGGATGTCACAGCCATCAGTCACAGCAGCCACCGCTGATGGTGAGCCCTGAGGGAACTCAGGATGGAAACAAGGAATGCCCCCCATCTAGCAGTCATTAAACTGCAGCCACCCCAACACTGCAGATTTAAGGAAACTCAGGATGAGAAAACACAGAACACTGGCCCCAGATAGCTGAAGTGCCTATCAAAGGAATGATTTCAATGAGCCTAGACTCTTGCACCTCCCTATACATAGAAAAGCAGTAAATTCCTTAACTTGATATATCTGGTTTTCTTTAATTAACAATAATCTTTTGACATTCCGACTACCTGCCCTTTGCTGCAAATACTCCTATATATTCCGGTTCCCCCTCACCTCCTAGGAGCAGTTTCTCAGGGTTATTTGAGATGCTGTCTCCAGGCTTGAAGTCCTAAGAATGTCTGCTGAAAAATACATAACTCTCAACTTTTAGGTCATGCACTTTTTTTCAGTCGACATGTCTACTTTTGTTTATATTTGGTAATTTTCATTAATAAAATATTTTTTCAAAACTGAAAACATACAGTGGCAAAAACATCAACATAATTATCTTTTTTTAAAAAGCCATTTAATAATCACTTTCATGTATCTTATTCTAATGAGAAGGGAAAGTAACCCAATTACTAAAATCATCTATTCTACTTATCTCATCATCCTCAGAAGAGCAAATTCACCAAATAAGCAGATGCAATGACGCATTTGCAACAACAAAGAGTAAGTATATTAGATAAAGAAGAGCTTTGTTGAGAGAAAGGCTGTTTATACTTAAAGTCATGTTAAGCATCTCAGAATCTCTCAGCTGTGAGGGACAGATGCGTTTATATGTGCAGCTGTAATTCATAAACATGTATGAGCCTCAAAAGTCCCAAGGCCATTGAAAATTTCAGTTTTACATGTATTTATAGTTACTTCTCAGGCATACAGGAATATGTTCTATATGAGAAATGGAAATAGTTAACAGGAACTTTATGTAAACTGCTTCCACTTCTTATTAATTTTAAAAATCATCATGTGACAAATACACCATACTTTATAAATATTACTGTGTTTCTTAACATTATCCATAAAGAGAATTTACTCAAATTGTTTATTTCCATGCTATATATTTCCTATAACTATGACTAAGAACGTTTCATAAAAGTACAATAAAGGAACCATCTACACAAAAAAATGCTTTAAATAAAATAAGGTATTTTAAATACCAATCTGGGCTTGAAGCATACACACTGTAAAGCAGAATCACAATTCCAGATTTTTTTTTCTAATGAGACTGGCAGATGTGCATAGCTACAAGGGACGAACACCGGCAGTGTTATTTAAGCATTGGGGTAACACCACCCGAGTTCTCAGCTGTTGATCAAAAGTCAATCTTACTCTACTGCAGGCATTCAAGACCGCAGATTGCTTGGAGAATGTCCTTACTGGAAAGAATAAACTTTATTTAGTGATCCCTTACCTGAAGTCTGAATAAAAATGATACATATTTTCCTACATGATTTACATCAGGCTGGCTACATATATGTGAAACAATTAGCATATCTCCACTTTTAGTTTTTACATTTATAGGGAAAAAATTCCTGGCCACATGATCTAGTTAGACAGCAACAACCTTCTAACTAGAAGAAAGCAAAATAACCTTTCACATTTTTAGGGGTGTTTTCCTATCTGACTGTAAGGTCAGGCCACTCAAGATGGCTGTTCTCTGGCTCTCTATACATTCCCTGCTCCACCAGTGCCTGCTTTACCTACACCCTACTCACATGACTGACCTTCCTACATACTTGCCCCAGGCCCCAGCTAGTGACTGTTCCTAACAAAGCGGTGGTGAGGGGCGTGCCCCTCTGCTAGTTTCCCTAGTAACCAATGAGCCAACCTGAGGTTAATTCCCCTTAAAACTGGCAATCTCCCATCTCCCCTTGCCCTTGGAGTGAAGACTGTCCTGCCCTGTCCCACCCACCATCTGCTGCAGATGGTGGGGTGTTGCTCCAGGACCTTGCTTCAGACGCTCCCCCTATCCACTGAACCACTGATGTCTCTGTCACTGACTCCGGGCTCTTTCTTAGGTCTTAAAAGCTGGGCAAATACAGGCCTTGCAGGCCTGCAGGGTGCAGCCCAATGCTGACAACACACCAGACCCACAGTAATCTATTATCTCATTCTACAATATCTTTATAGTATCTTTTGTGAACAAAGTAAAGTGCTTAGCAATACAATTATTCTAGAAATGAAAAATTATAATCAAATGACTTGCAGGTCACATAGTTAATTATCAGTAAAGCCTGGGCAAGAATCCATATATTCAGATCCCCAGCTTTGTGCTCTTGATAGGGACAGATTAAAGGGACAAAGTAGGTGATTAAATAGTTAATCCCACTAGGGGACTGTAAGTAAAGACAAAGCATGGGAGACCCTGTAAGGTAATGATCACTCAAGAAAGCAGGTTTGCTTCACCACAAAACCAAGCAGGCTTGCTTAGCAGCAAAATCATGCAACAGAAGCATGAGACATGCCCCAAACAATAAAATAATGGTGGATTGAGACCCACATCCTGTCCAGTGAGGTCAGTAAGTTAATGATTTCTAGGACATGCTTCTCTGCATACACTGAAAATAAAAATATAAGGAAAAGGTGACATTATACTGAAAGCTGAGATGATTTACCACATTTTAGTATATGTTACTACCTTTTTGCTCATTTCCATTACACCATGACAGCCCCAGTTTGACCATGTAGGGACAAGAAAAATCCCCCACCCGACATGGAGGAGGAACCAATGTTGGAAGCGTGATGTCTACTCAGGAATGAGGAAGAAGGTGGTCATCTCCCCCTCCCCACTTTTCCTTTAATTATAAAACTGTAGCCCACTAAGTTCTCAGGGCAGCACCCTCCTGCCTGCCTGCTTGTAAACCTATAAGCATCCTATTCTAATAAATCATTTCTTATCTATCACTTTGCCTCTTGCTGAATTCTTTCCGATCTGAGACATAAAGAACCAGAGCTCCTCGGAGCCCCCCACCCCGAGATGCATTTCTGCAGTTTCACTCTAACCGTTCAGAGGCATTACAAATTTAAGGCTAGTGCTGCTACAAATTACGGATCATCATGGATGATGATCTTTGAAATAAAAATAATAGCTACCTTTTTCAGACACCATGCTAGTAGGCACTTTATATATATTATCTTAAATCCTCACGATAGCTCTGTGAAATATACAATTCTTATTTATAGATTAGGAAAATAAGACTTAGAAAGAGTAAGTGATTTACCCAATCACTTAGCCAGAAAATGTTGAAACCAGCATTCAAATACAAACCTATCAAAATATCCAAAAGAGAGATCCTTCCTCATATATTATGCAAATAGAGATCATTATACTACATAGAGTGGTATGAGAGTTGTGCAATAACATTAAAACATTATTACCTACGTACAGCTCACATCTATAATTAAATGGCAACAGATAGTTTTTTTTCTTTTTCTTCTCTCTCTCTCTCTCTCTCTCACTCTCTTTTTTTTTTTTTTCTGCCTAGGGGATGTTAGTGGACGGCTGAATTCAAGAAAAACAGGTTGCTTGGAAGACAGATAATGAGAGATGATTCGGATTCCTTTTCTGTAATCATAATTCAAAAGAAAATTTTTTAACTGTTAGCATTTTTTGAAGTCTACCATGTGCCAAAGCTATGCTAGGTACCTCATGGAAAACTCCTTATCATGAGATGCTAAGGGACTTCCACTTAAAAAATTAAAATCCTTGCTGGCTTTAATAATTAACTTTTTATTGCTAGTCTTCCTGTCCTTCATTTTATTCCTCATTACTTCACACTATTACAAGCTAATCTTTACTTTAAGAAGCAAAACAAAAACTCGGATCCTTGGAAAGCTATTAAAGAAAAGCTGTCATGATAATAACCATATAAGTAGAATATAAGTATCTCAGCCCAGATGTCTGACAAACATGTAGAACCTACTGCATAATTCATACAATACTTGCCTCTGGAGTTCCTAGTGCTTTCACAGCATTCAGATCAGATCCTGAGGAGAAAGTATTTTTTGCTCCGTGGACAATGAGACCTTTCCCCTCTGTCCAATTTTCCAACTCAATCACTTTTTCCAGAAGTTGTAGCATCATAACACCTGCCAGAGGGGAGGGGGAGTCAAAAACACATAAAATATTGGACAAATAGAAATAATTTAGAAACTGTAAGGTGTCAAACAAGACTCTTAGGTCACAAATTTTACAAATATTTACTGAATGTCTATCAAATGCCTATCATGTTGGTACTAAGGAGTATATACAAAAGAGGCAAGCATGACAGTCTCTGCTTTAAAAGTTTACAACTTGATAGTGACCTCTTTCTCTCCCTCTCTCCCTTAATTAAGAAGTCACATAAATATGTGGTTAGGTAGAAAAAATAATGCTGGCCCTAAGTATGAGAAATCTGTACCAGTATAAAATAATCTTTTTGACTTTGTAAAATAAACATAAGAGTTGAAACAGACCTTAAAGAGTATCTGGTTGGCTGATTTTCAAATAAGGGCCTTGAGAGTTGTGTGGTGTGGGGCTAATTCATCATCTCACAACCCAACCCAACCCAACCACCATCCTCCAAATCAAAGCAGCTCTGCCTGTATTAGTTTTAAATATTAGGCATCAAATTAATACTTGTTTCTGTTTGAATAAAAAGTTTTACTAATATAAATTATAAATTGTAGCTATTCAGTAGTAAGTTAAAACAAGTATTTATCTAGTCTAAATCTCTAGAGCAGTCTTACCTTTCTAATTTTATTTTTCCTAGGCTAATATAAAAACTGGCTTTTATTCTCTGAACCAGTTGAGGGTATGCAGCTGCACTGTCCAGTAAAGCAGCCACCGCGCACATGTAGTCATTGAGCACTTGAAACATGGCTAAAACTGAGATGTGCAGTAGTGTGAACAGCTTTGGGCAGGAAAGGCCTCTTTGCAGGAAAGAGCTCTCTACAGGACGCCCCTTTTCTCTTGTCACTAACCTTAAGCCAGGCACCCCCATCCTCTACTCATCTCTGGCCCTAGCACAACTTTCAGATCTTTTGATCACACAATAGGTTGCCTAACCTGTTGGCTCTTTCTGTAGATCAAAGAAGTAGAAATGAAGAATAAGTAATTAAGACATGACCAGATCTCTTCCCTAGCTTCCCCTTCAGAAATCTCGAGAACAGATCTGTGGGAACAAGATAGCATCTAAAGAAAAATCACAAGAAGTCAACAAGCCTGCACACACTGGGGGATGGCAACGATTCTGACCCCTTATCTCAACGACTGAGATTACTTCCCCTTTTCCCTTTAAAACTTTCATGGCTGAGCAGAATCTTCAGAGGTGGTTTTTGGGGGACAACTGAGTCCAACATCTCCCCAGATTGCCAGCATTCTGATTAAAAGCTACTTTCCTTTCTACCAACATCTGTCTCTTGAGTATTGATTTTTGAGTGGCAAGCAACCAGACCTGATTTGGTAACAGTAGTGTAAAATACATACCAGATTTCAGAGAATTGGTATGAAAAAAGAAAAGAGGAAAATACCTCATTAATAATTTTTGTATCAGTCATTTGTTGAAATATTTTGAGTACACTGGGTTAAACAAAATATGTTATTAAAATTAATTTTACCTTTCTTTTTCCTTTTTAGAAATATGGCTACTAGAAAATTTTAAATTACATATGTAGCTGACACTTGTGTCCTGCATTATACTTCTATTGGTTAACATTAATAGAGACATCTCTGAATTCTGCTGAATGTAAAGAAAAGTCATCTTGTGTTTGAAGACCCACCACTAATAATTTACAAAGTTTACAGTCTACTGAATTATGTGTATAAGTATGATTATATACAGACACAAGAAGCTTTACTGGGATATTTTTGAGCCCAATATTTCAAATGCTACTATAAAATATAATTCGCTCCCCCCACAATAAGTATGTAACTAACAAACAGAGATTGCCAAAATCACCTGGAAACACGAGTGCTGGGTAGTCAGGAAGGTAACTCATGAGCTCTTGTGTAACATCACGGTAGGATAATTCAAATTTGAGCTTCGGCAAAAAATTACAAATTATCACAGGTCCTGGACCTTGAGGTCTCTTAAATATAAAATTCTTATATGCCAAGAGCGCTGCCTAGTAAATAGAAGGTATTTACCTGTATCTCAGAGTTAGAAAGGGGCAACAAGTAGGCAAGTGCAGTGTTTTCAGTGATTATTGGAACTACATGGTTAAAATGACAGTCTTATTTCAGTTCATAGAAAAAAAAATTTAAGCTAAATAATTTTTTTTTCATTTTAGGCTTTTCTCTTTAGGTTTTAAAATCTTTGAAACATCCTTCCCTTTGTCTCCCAGTGACATTAGCTGAACACAAACAAATGAAGTTATTAAGCACTTAAAATTTCAATGGAAAAAATAATCAAGATTAATTTGATGGTTTCCTTTTTACCAACATCCATACTCACGGATTTTTTAAAAACATTAAAATATTCACAATTAGTAAAAGGGTTCCTGGTTCAGGTGATTGTTTTGTTTTGTTTTCTCATGTTCTACAAAGAGTACCATGACTTTCAAGAATTCTTCAACAGATTTAAGGATAAAAGCATGAGATAGCAGGTTAGATTTAGTGTCATTTTTTAACTAACAAAAGAAAGCTCTCTATACCTGAGAAGGCATTCATTTTACTTGGATTGTTCAGAGTAAGAATGCCAATGCCACTGTCCTCCTTCTGAAGGTCAATGGATCCACCAGGAAACTGCTCAAGTTTTCTTTTCACTTCTTCCTCATGGAAGCCATGAGAGGTATTATAAAGTGACAATCCTATTTGATGTAGCAATTTTGTCTTCATAGGGATAGGTGATGTCTTCAAAACATGTCTTGCCATTTCTGGAAAAGAGAGATAAGTATGCAGTAGTCTGGATAAACAGACACTTTTAGAATATTATACATTAATAGGCTTTAGTGAGAGACCTTTCTGTTTATTGGGAGGACTTCCCTACTTCTCAAAACACTCTCTGAGAAGTGTATAGGATTGCTTCCCTTCCCCCCCCGCTTCTCAAACCAAAGGATATAAGTTACATTATTTCAGTATATCATCAGGAGATGATGACGTAGTTATAGGGCATTTACTGAGATCCAACACACTAGGAGGATTTAGAAAAATGTTGCTGTTCTGTAGTTAGCACCATCTCCTGCCTTCAGGGAGTCTTCCTCATGACAGCAGTTCTTCTCCCTTTAACTCTAAATCTAAGAATAAATTCAGTCCAGAAGTCCCCTTGGAAACAATCTCTATGCAGAAATGCTACAGAGCAGTTCCAGTCTCTAACAGAAAATTTATTTTTAGCATTATCCTTACCTTATGTAATGCTTTATAGAAAAAGCTGGAATGGGTCCCGAGGAAAGTGGGCAAAGAAATAGGAATGTATGTGTGTGGTTTCTGTATTCCCCAAACTTCTGTCACTCTTCTCACTTTACATAGCTCATCTCTGGGTAATCTCCTATCTGCCCAAATGCTTTTTTGCCCTATGTAAGTACTTTTGTTCACATAAAAAAATACATTCAGAAAATTATACAAATCATAGGTTACAGTTCAATGAATTTTCACAAGGTAAATACATTCAAATAAATAGCACTCAGATCAAGAAACTGAACATGACTCCAAATAAAAATAACAACTATCTTGACTTCTAATACCCAACATTAGCTTGCCTGCTACTGAACTTTATATAAATTGAAAAATATAGTAAATATTCTTTTGTGTCTAGTTTCAACTACGTTTGTGACACCCATTACTATTATTATGTGTAATTAGATTCTAAATAGTCCATTCTTTTCATTGTTGTATTTTATTATATGAATATACCACAATTCATCTATTCTAATGTAAATAGTCATCTGGGTTGTTTCTGGGTTTTGGCATTACAAGTAGAGCTGCTGTGAACATTTTAGTATCTGTCTTTTGGGTCAACAAGTATGCATTTCTGCTGGCTATATCTAGAAATGGAATTAGTGGGTCAGGCAGCAGCTGGCTAAAACTGCTTGCTAAACACTGAAGAATTTTGCAAGTTGCTTTTTAAACCATAGGTAGCTTGAAATTAACCATGGTGAGAGTATTAGCAAACTCTACATATCAATCTCTCCCCGCCCCCCCCCACAGCCATTTTCCGGGTACACCACTGGTCATAATGATCACATCTGTTCATTTATTTCACTTTAAAAGATACTGCCTAAGAGTTTTCACATCCACAGCTAGTGAACGTTCCAGTTGTTCCACAACCTTGTTATCACTTGCCAATGTCTTTTTTTTCCTTTCTTTCCATTTTAGGCATTCTAGAGAGTGGTATATCATTGTGGTATCACTTTGCATTTCTATGATGTCTAATGAAGTCAAGCTCCATTTTCATATGCTTGTTATTTGCATATCATCTTTTATAAAGTGCCTCTTCAAGTTTTCTTGCTCATTTTTTTGCCTTTTTAGTACTAATTTGTTGGAATTCTTTTATTCATTTGCCTACAGTTTTTATTAAAACTCATAAGACAACAAATTCTACATTTCCATCTCTAGTTGAGACCTTATGCCCAAGTACTCCTAAATCAAACAAAAATCTACTTCTTACTCCTCACCTCTAGATGTACCACAGGTTTCTCAAAATCACTGTTTAAACCTAACTCACACTTTTAAAACCTGTAACTACTTTATTCCTTCCCTTAACTATCCATAGTATCCTCAACCCAGAAAGCCACAGCAGAAAACCCAATCTCCTTCCCCACCTTCATTTCTCATATGCAACCTTTTTTATTTTTCTCATCCTTTACTTCTTCTATGACTAACATAGTTCAAACCTATGTACCTGGATAAGTACAGTGGTCACCAATTAGTTGTATACTACACCTTAAAATCAGAGCTATCTTTCTACTGTATGCCCCCAGAAGTACAAATCTTCATATACATTTTCAAAGAAATTGAAAAGATTTAAAATTAGTCCTTCTCAGGACTTGAACATGAACCTAAAAAATGAACCTGAAGGGGAAATAAAGTGATTAAGGTGGGAAAATTTAGGTCTATGGGAAATGAAAGGGATGGGGGGGGGGAAATACAATGTTTTTACTAATTAAAAAGTACGAAATAGTTATGAAAAAACACAAGGATTTTGGAGGCTTCCTAAAGTATCAACTAAATATAAGTATCAAGTTCTCTCAAGATTCTCTTAGCTAGCAGAGGAAATCTACACTAAAAATTTCAGGAGTTATTGAGAAATTACAAGCAATGGGGCTAGAAATAAATTAAATTAGCAAAACTTATATTCTCAGGACAAGATATATATGTATATTTATATGTATGCTCACAACTCCAGCAATGTGCAAAAAAGCCCTCTCATCCCCAACCACTGTTCCTTCTTTTTCATCTCCCCTTTCACTATCCCTAGATTCAAGTTCAGTGATCAAAGTGTGTGGGAAAAATAAGGTCAAAATATATCATTCAAAATGAGTTTGGAAGCCTTCCTTGCTTTTTAAAAGACAAATTGCAAAAAACATACATAATAACTAGATTAGCAATTAAGATAAATCTTTTAAAACAGGACAGTATTCTTTCTTGGATTATTTAAAGTAAATAGCTTCATTCTAAGAATAAAAAATGGTTGAATAGTTTCTTTGCATAAAAGTCATTAAGTAAATTACACCATGTGTATATAGGTTTTTATAGCCAAGAAGTTCAAAGGACTGGGATCCTAGTATATAAACATACATGCATATGATAAGAGCATTTGGTAAGATATAATTGGTAACAATTCAATTGGTATTTATTGAGTTCCTATTTAGTGATCTCCCCTTTGCTAACTAGCTATTTCAGAGAGAAAAAAAAAGTATTTTTAGTTTTATCAAAGAAACAAAATACATACACACTCAGCAATAATGTTCAACTCTCTAGTTGAAAATAGAACAAAATCCCTCATTTTATTAAGCTCTATTAGAGACCTGCATCAAATTTAAAATATAGCCATAACTTCATAGAAGAATTTTTTTCTCTTCACCAATAAACTTTTATCACGAAGTCTAAGAATTTTCTATAGGCAGAAATGGATCCAAAGACATTAAATCAGTGCATGGGATTATACTTTATTTCCCTTCATTCTTTCCAAGTTTTAACATTCTAAGCAGAAGTAGAACAAAAATCAAGCACCATCCTAGTTCTGCTGGGGAGTAACCAAAGAAAAAAGTAAACTCAGATCAGCTCTTTTTTTGCAGTGTCTTGTGGCCAAAATATTGGCAGAGGGCTCTACTTTCAAAACACTTTCATCTTACATATTTCCAGAGTATCAGTTCTTCACCTGATTATGTTAGCACTAATCTATTAGAATGAAAATTATATAGTCCCACTACCCTCCCAAAACAAATCTAGAAAACAGACAAACAGAAAATAGGGCCCACATTTCCATTTTACAAGTAATGAAAGCTTACCTTTATGTGAAGCTTTCCTCTAGAGAGTGACCTGCTTACTGTCAAATTCTGAAACAACAGGAAAGCTCTTGAAGTTCTCACTCTGCTTTTTCTCCAAATAAATACATGTAATTTTTTAAAACAAATTATCAATTTATAAAAACCTTTAAAACTTGAGACAGTATTTTAGGTAACTAAATAGCTGCCTAGAATCACAAGTCTTTTGAATAGACAAGAACATACTTTACATAAAGGCTATCGGATGAAATCAAAACATTTATGAGGTTATATGAAACTGTGCGACACTACTATTCATGTATTACTTCTACAAAAGATTGCTTTCATTTACTTACTTTGAAATCAGGTTGTATTACAGTTAGCCAGAATGAAAATAAATGTAGACATGAAGAATGAAGAAAGCTAACCTAACATACTTTTGAAAAAGTTAGGTTTCAGAATGAATGTGTTGTAGTTCTTGACCTAAGTAATGGATACACAGGTATTTCTTTTTGTTGTTGCCTTTCTTTAAACTCTTCTTATGCTCTTTTCACTATATGCATGTATGCTACATTTCTCACTAAACATTTTTTTAACTGAAGGATATCATTCCAAATTTAGAGGGGATGGTCTCTACCTTTGCCAGTAATCTCTCCCAACCTTCTAAACTGCCAATTTCAAGACTAGTTTTCTAAATACTCTGTTTTTTGCATAGAAGATATTTAATAAAGAACACAAATATTGCCATTGGTGGCCACATAAGTGTCTGAAGGTTCTGGCAGGTCTGACAACTGAGCAAGTGTTCTTATTAAAGGTAATGATATTTCTTAAAAATTGATGTACAACCAGAAACCAGATAAGAAAGAATTAGAGATGAACCTCCTGCCTCCAGTAAATTCAAAAACTCTTATGGGTAGGGACCACATCTTATTCATGGCTTTAGCATACAGAGCTTTACATTTAATATTTGCGGTACTAAATGATACCTAACGTGGTTATTACCATACAGGGATTACTGTACCTAACCATCATTTCCCAAACTAAATAAAAGATCTCCATTTGCCAGATAGAAAAAGTTTATTTCATTGTTGGAATTCTAGGAAATGCAAGTCCAGGATATGTAGCTCCAAGTGCTTAAGGGTATTACAGTCAGCCAGAGAAGGAGATCTCCTTTTCACTGGCCCCTGGTCAGTTTGATCCAGGACCACCACTCCACCGTCAGTGCTCCTGCTCCTTTTCACAAAACAGACAAGAGCTTTGGGTCTGATATTTTTTTTCTTTTCATGTTTACAAATTGGGTTTGCATACAACACAATCTCTATTGGATCATTAATGAAAATACTAACACTTTTTAAGAAATGATGGTAAGTAATAGATAACAAAACATCGCTCTACCTATTTATAATGTCTGTAGTTGGTAATACATATTTTACAAGGGTCTGGTTAGTAGTATTCTTCATACTTTAACTATATAACCAGATTTCCCTCACAAGGGTTAGGGCTAGCCTGTTACATTCTCTAACTTTCTAGGAATGAAAGGCAATTTACCCAGTGAGTACTGAGGTTAAGACCATGTCACAACTAAGACCTGGTGCAACCAAAATAAATAAAAATTAATTTTAAAAGAGACCTAGTAACTGTTCGTGGCAAATTTAAATGGGGAACCCATGACTTGACCTATTTTGCCCTACCTTCCCCACTCCTCCTTCAAAGGAAGATGCTATCGGTTTTGAGCCAACGACATTCAAAGTACCACAGCTTTCTGTAGAAGGCAACAGAGTGAAACTGTTTCCATTGGCACTGCTGCCACTTTGGATTTCTTTGTTCTCATCTCCCTCCTTTCCTCCTTTTCCTCTCTACTGGGTTCTCTCTCTCTCTCCTCTCTTTCTTTTTCAGCTTGTGTGGTACATGGAAGCAGGGGCTGCCTTTATCTTCGGAAGGCATCTGAAGAAGGTTAAAGGCAGTAGGGCTCAGGGTTCCTTAGGCCTGCTTCTAGTCTAAGAAAAATAAGCTCTCAAGGTCACCTGCCAGATCAGTTCACAAAACTGAGAGGTCTACATAGAGGGTCAGAGCCAAACACAATATGACCAGGCTTGCTTTTGCCTAGAATATGCTCTATGCACGTTTTGCCCCTGGGGATAAGTCATATATAGAAGAGACCACTCAATGGAAAATTCAGTTGGGGCAGAGGTCTCTTCCACATTGACCATGACTTCAGTATAAAAGAATTGTGCCAAAGAAACTTGATGAGAACTTAAATGGCTATTTAAAAAAATAAATAAATTTCCCTGTTTTCCATAGTATTCTGTTTAGGGAAAAGAATAAGGAGTTAAACTAGAAAATAAGAAGGGGTAAGGCTTATAAAATCATTAGCATTTTTAAGTATTATGAAGGGATAATAGATTCAATAAACGTTATCTTCTTTCATTGTAAGGAGTCTGTCTGTTCTGTCTTCACACACTTCCCTACCTCCACTAACCAAAACAAGGGCAATTAGTATAGACATCATCAGATCTGTATCTCCTCATACTTAAATCATTACAAATTTAAATATTCATGTTACTAATATTTTTGCCTCATTGGACAACTTTGATATGCTGATTTTTCCATGGAAACCTTATAATAAAAACCTCATTATCCTTTTTCTCTATTGATTCCATATTTTTTTTCTTTCCCCCCCTCACTCTTGTCCCCCTTCCACTAACTCTCCTTTCTTTTCTCTCCTCCCCTCATATCCCCTGGTCTGTGCCACACACTAGTACCAGAGAAACTCAAGGGCACTGCTTAAGCCTATTAGGTTTGCTGATCTCAAGTTTAGGGATCCAGTTCTTGACATTTGAAATAGCCTATTATGGATACTTTCATCCCAATTCTAAACTCAGAGATTAAATTAAACAATAGTTCAGTACTTAGAAGATGACAAGGTATAAACCACTATTAAACTACCATATTATCTGAAAGTATAAGTGAACAAACAAGGGCTGAGATTCTGGTCTTTTATAAGCATGTAGTTAAGCAATCGGCATTTTGGATTTGTCCCAGGATCAGAGGCAACGAAAAGGTTCGGAGGCATTTTTGATTTTATAAATTTTCTTCAGAACAAAAAGTATGTTTAAAACTCATCCTGCAGGATGCTTTGCTGTCCTACCACAAGTAGAGTCAGCCCAGCTGAACAAGCTTACAACCGTACCATGGGAAAAGGAAAAGAGAAGAGAGCCCTGTGTACATCTGAGATCAAAGGTTTCACTTTCTCCAATTGTTTTAAAGTTCTTCAAAGGTGATCAAATAGCTCCCTTCCCTGCACAGGATCTAAGCTAGCTGTTCTCTTAGAAGGCATAACCCGTTTTACCATGTGCTGAAACTGCTAAATCTAGACAATAAACACAAACGCATACTTAGTAAGAAAACAATTAGCTTAACGCAGGGAGTAAACAAAAAATCAAAACTATTCTACTTTAGACTGTCAGTATATGACCTGTTTTTCGTATTTTAGTTTGGTTTTAGGCTGTCATTTATTATCCTACCTTTCAAGTTTAATCACGTGCCACACATACCCTTCTTCCTCTCAGCCGACATGAACTTCTTTCAGTTTTTCAAATCCTTCAGATGTTCTCTTCATTCCAAGCCTCTGAATATGTGCTTCCCCCACCCATTACACTTTTTTCTTCCTCACAGTAACTCCAAGTCGTCTCCTTTAATACTCTAAACTATACAAAATACTTTTACTATCTGTTCTCACAATATTTATATCCTTTATTAACCCTCAATCACGCTTTCCTGTAATTACTTCTTTAACCAAATCTTCCCACTAGATTTAGTTGCAAGAGGACATTTGCAGTGCCTAGTACAGTACTTGACAAATAACATTCACCAGTAATAATTTGGCACACAATGCCTGAGAATCCATAATGCCATACAAGGCTTAAGAAGCTGTCCACAAACCAACTCTACCTACCCTGTTTATCATTCCCACCACTCACCCTGTTTCGGTTCCATTCTTCCTTGCAAGCTGGTCTGTCTTCTTGGGATGCTGATCACTGCCTGTGCCCCAACTAATGGAGATCTGCTCACCTTTCAGATCAGACCAATAAAATATCAAGAAAAGATGTTCTGTTTTATTACCACGCTCCTTCCTCCCCCAGCAGATTTCACAGTTATATGTGTGTGTAGCGTTAAAAGGATTAATGAGGCTCAAAAGAATTCTAGAATGAAAGAACATTTACCAAAAATGAGTTAGTCATTTTTGTTGTTGTTGAAAAGTTGGCTGCATGAAACGAAGGATGCAAATTTTACTTAAGCAAGATAATTTAATACAGGTAGTGAGAAGGACAATTACAGAGTTCCCAGGGAACATTACCTACTGTTGAAATCAATTGCTAGGCCCAAAATAGAGCTGTTCCTGCCATGGGTGCCACATCAGCAAACCAAAACTTAGACAACCTCCATTAAATAACTTTCTATATAAAGGCTTTATCCTTCCTGTGAGCACTCACTCACTTAGCATTTGGCCCAACTCGTTTGGAATCAGGCTGTTCCTATTGGAACTGTGCTGGTATTTGACCTGCAGACTGTTTAGGAATTTTCTTTTGCTCTAGGAAAAAAACCTGAGAAGGGCTTCCCTGGTGGCGCAGTAGTTGAGAATCTACCTGCCAATGCAGGGGACACAGGTTCAATCCCTGGTCTGGGAAGATCCCACATGCCGCGGAGCAGCTAGGCCCGTGAGCCACAACTACTGAGCCTGCGCGTCTGGAGCCTGTGCTCCGCAACAAGAGAGGCCGGGATAGTGAGAGGCCTGCGCGCTGCGATGAAGAGTGGCCCCTGCTTGCCGCAACTAGAGAAAGCCCTCGTACAGAAACGAAGACCCAACACAGCCAAAAATAAAAATAAATAAATAAATAAAATAAATTTAAAAAACAAACAAACAAACAAAAAAAAAACTTGAGAAATGAGATCCCAGTAAGCTACATGTTGGAGTTCGCCCCCTGCCCTTTCAGGGACTCTGGACAGTATTATATTTAAAAACTGCAGTCCTACCTCATGCACGTTTCAAACGAAGAAAGAAAGACGTGTCTTCTGAGGTCTCTCTTTCCCCTCCTCCAATTTTCTTTGTCTCAGGCCCTGCCTCCAGTGCCAGCTCCCTCCTTCCCTTCTCCAAGACGGGTACTAACACGGTTCAGATAGTGGGAGTCTCTGCAATAGGCCTTTTTTTAGGCCTTCTGAGAGATACCCACTCTTCCCTCCTTAACTTCCTCTGCCCCCTATTCATTTATTAGGCCAAGACTTTTTAGAAAAGTATCATGCTGGGATTTCTTTCTCCCCATAAAGGAAATAATAATTCTAGAATTTGACAGTAGATAAATAAGCCTTCAATATACAATGGAATATTACTCAGCCATAAAAAGAAACGAAATTGAGCTATTTGTAATGAGGTGGATAGACCTAGAGTCTGTCATACAGAGTGAAGTAAGTCAGAAAGAGAAAGACAAATACCGTATGCTAACACATATATATGGAATCTAAGAAAAAAAATGTCATAAAGAACCTAGGGGTAGGACAGGAATAAAGACACAGACCTACTAGAGAATGGACTTGAGGATATGGGGAGGGGGAAGGGTGAGCTGTGACAAAGCGAGAGAGAGGCATGGACATATATACACTACCAAACGTAAAATAGATAGCTAGTGGGAAGCAGCCGCATAGCACAGGGAGATCAGCTCTGTGGTTGTGACCACCTAGAGGGGTGGGATAGGGAGGGTGGGAGGGAGGGAGACGCAAGAGGGAAGAGATATGGGAATATATGTATATGTATAACTGATTCATTTTGTTATAAAGCAGAAACTAACACACCATTGTAAAGCAATTATACCCCAATAAAGATGTTAAAAAAAAATAAGCCTTCAAAGCAATAAACTCATTCCTTGTAATACCCCTATTTGACCTGTGAGAAAACCCAAGGGCAGGGATGGAGCTTTGTCCAGAACCTCTGAACAATAAATAACACCGTTATCCCTCAGTACCCTATTGTTCCTAATCCCTACAAGCTACTGACATCCATTCCTACTGAGATCAAATTTTTCGATAAACTCTTCTATTCTCTACTTTGTTATACTATGTAGATAATCTGTTTCTCTGCCCCCCTTCTCAAATTTCTTCACAGAAAAACAGCATCCACCTGTTAAAATGTTTGACCTTAAGGGGATGTAATGTCTCCAAAGAAAAACTGCAGTTTGCTCAAACCCAGGTTCAATATTTAGGACACCTGATCTCGAGGACAGTGGAATGCATTCTTTAACAGGTATGCAGAAATTTCTAAAAAGACAAGAGGACTCCAAAAAGACAGCTCTAAGAGGATCCTTACAGTACGCAATTAAACAGGTTAACTTAGTCCATCTGCCAGAAATACAATTTGGATCCAAATATTCTCTTTGAGTTTTGTACCAGGCTATAAGATCTCTGTGTCTGTATGTATGTGATGTGCGTCCATATATGTGTTATAGATATGTGTTCTTTTTATACCTCCAGATGGTATTGCCAAAATTAATTTATAAAAACAGTTCTATTTAACTGGCCTAAAAAAATTAAGTACTTATATAAATTAAATTATCAGAAATATAAGAGAAACTCAAACAGATGCTTTTGTGGTTCATGTGATCTGGGAAAATATCTGGCATTAAAGCTAGTTTAAATTTGTTAGTCTAATTGAAACAGGCATGTCTTCAGAGTTAACAGCATTAAATATAATACTTTTATTCTACTTGGGTTTACTAGTCAAATAAGTTCATGTTATCTCTGTTGCAAGTTTGTTAGAAAAAAAATTTGCTTGAGTTGATGGCTGACTTTGTCTAATGTCTCATAAAATTTTTGTGAGTAATTTAAACATAAATGTTGGGAACAAATAATTCAGATAGATGAAAATGGGGTAAGAGTCTTTAGGTACAACAATTATGTTTTATGATATGTGTCCTTAAAAAAAATAGCATACTCAAATCTTTATTGAATGTCTGGATCATTCTCCAAACATGATAAATTACTAGAACATTAATTACTGAACACAGATCTATTGCTTTTGGCTTTCTATTTTAGAGAAACCAAAGATAAATTTTTGTCTTTTAGTAACCATGTCTTGTGTCACACTGAAAGACTGTACTATTTAAAATGGCATATACCTTTGGAAACTAGAAAATACATTTATAAATTTGCTAGTCTAAAATTGCTTACTTCTTAGTTTTCACTAGAAATCAAAGTTTCTAAGGGTTATATATTCTGATTAATAAATATGATTAAAGCTACTAGAAATGATAAGGAAAACATTGCTGTATGCAAAGGAAGTAGTTTTGTCCTAAAGTAAAATAGTTGCCAGAATAAAAAGGAAAGGATAAGACAAAATCTGAATGTAAATAGAGAACTGTAGAAGGGCTTGTGAAACAAGAATCTTTTGAAAGAAATTTTATATGCAATAAAGTAGGATAAGATTAAATATACTTGCTATAAGGGTTTTAAAAAGTAAGCTTTAATATCAATAGTGTACTTATGTAAAACTGGAACTTAATTTTCTTTCAGCTGCTAAAAGGACATGGTTTGCTTGGGCTATTGGTCTGCTCCTGATAAGAGATTATGAAAGGTTTTTCCTTACTTTTTTGTGTTTTATCAAAATTATTTCCTGTGCTTTTCTAAAAAGCTGTCTTTTTTATAAAGAAGAGCTAAGGGTTTGGTTTTTTTTGTTTTGCAGCTATGTAACCTTCTCTATTTGTCTTTTGAAATCTTTTTGTCATTTTGATTAAATAGATACTTGGTGTTTTGTAATCTTCAGTAATCTTATTTGGTCAAATGTCCAAAACCTTTTGATATTTTTGAAACACTTCCCCAAAATCAAACTCTAAATTAAGTCATTTTGACCTGAAAATAACTTTGGGAATCTCCAGAGACTTGTTCTCTCTTCTTATAAAAAGGGAGATGTTAATCAGGTTTATCTGATATGTCAGATTATATGGGAAGCTTTGTCAAATAAATGATGATAAACTTTCTTAGGTTATGTTGTATACGTGAATGTTATTAAATGTTCTAGAGATTGTATGAAAATTCCTATGATTCTGATGTGTCCTGGCATAATGTTATCAGCCATGATTTTAAAGATGTAGTCACAGAAATAACCAAATTGACTTGTCAACTACATTATAATGAACCTTCATCAGATCTTTAATCATTACTATTTTTAAGTCTTTTGTCAGTTATAGACAGTTGTTGTTTTACTCTGGTGCTTTTGCAAATATCATTTCTAGTACCTTTCATCACAGAAAAGATCCTGACAAATACTCTTGAAGGCAGGTGTTAGATAACTGTAAGCTATTACACAGAACTAGATTTAAAGGGCCTTTTTCTTTCTCTCCTTTAAGAAAATGTATCTTTGGGCTTCCCTGGTGGCGCAGTGGTTGAGAGTCCGCCTGCCGATGCAGGGGACACGGGTTCGTGTCCCGGTCTGGGAAGATCCCACGTGCCGCGGAGCGGCAGGCCCTGTGAGCCATGGCCGCTGAGCCTGCGCGTCCGGAGCCTGTACTCCACAACGGGAGAGGCCACAGCAGTGAGAGGCCCGTGTACCGCATAAAAAAAAAAAAAAAAAAAGAAAACGTATCTTTGTAACAAAGGTTAAAATATTTTTTTTTCTCCCATCCTGATCCCTCCAGAATTCAAAAACTTAAGTATGTTTTTCATGACAATATGTGTACTTGCATAAATTCAATGAAAATCTGTTCTCCTCATAACAAGACACAACTGGAAATATTGGCTATATTACCAAGGCTTTGGCTGGATTATCATATTCAAGAAAGACGTACATAGACAGATATGACCAGACAGCTTTAAGGAACTTCTCAAAAATAATAAATAAATCAGCCTGGTACCTTGCTTACAAGATTCCAGCAAAACAATTTTGAAAAAGAGCTTATATGGTCAATCACCATTCTTGCTGCATTTATGTAAATAATCAAACCAAGTTTAATACCAACAAATTAGTTTTACTATGATTATCTTTGATAAAAGTGAGGACAATCATAGAGAGAAAAATCATGTTTGCACTTACGTAGCTATTAAGTTCTAGTCCTATCAATTATCTCCAAGGTTTTGTCATATACCTGCACATTGGACTGGATCCTAAATTCTTCTAGTCTCCAATAATGTCTGGCTACTCCTCTCCAGACTAATGTTTTCAATTTTCTTCCACTCTTCTGATTTGAAATCAGTAAGAACAAAGACTGCCTTGAATCCTCTTGGAAGGGACTTTACCAGGTCCTCCTCACTACCTAGAAGGCAGCCAAACTTCAGGGACTCGAACCTTGAGTACACATCTCACAGCTAGAGAAGACCGCACCTGACATGTGGTCCTACACAAACACTGGAAACCTCCAAATCGAAACGACTAGGAAGAAAAGCAGCTGACAACGGAGGCATACAGCTTTCCAAAGATGACCTGACCAGGCCTGTATACCCTTTTTCTCACTGTTGCTTTTTTTTTTACTCTCTCTCTCTTTAACAGAAAGACGATGCCCTTGTTTCTACTTCCCAAATCCTCTTCTTTTGATTATGGCCTTTCAGAAACTACCTCATCATGACCCCATAACAAATCAGTCTTTTCACCTGCCTTTTGGTTTTTTTTTAAGAGTTAGAAGGTTTAGAATTCACTGAAGTCTTTCTTTCATCTGGACTATTAACTGTTTCGGGATTCTTACCTAGATTCACGGTCTTTGAATTTGCAACCTTACAGGCTGTCTTACTGGATAACACACTTGGTTCTAAACAGCTCTTTTGGGATAACAATACTATTTTAATACGTCTTTGAAGTTCTGCTGTTTTTGCAAAGAGCTCATAAGCTATTGCTCCATACTTATTCCTGCCCTGTCTTCCCAATATGCTCAGTTAATTCTTTCAGTTTGTGCTGTTGCTGTATTCACTGTTCTATTTTCTCTTCAATACAAAACAGAAGCCTCCCATTGATCCATTTTACTAAACCTTCATGGCCACCTTGAGTGGGAACTTCCAGGAGGCATACATGACTCCACGTCTGCCGCTGTAGGAAGGGCCTTTTTTCCCTCAGGTCCGAGTAAGTGCCAAAGAAAACATGATTAGAGCAGCAGAAACTCAACTGCATGGAAGAATTGAGGAGAAAGAGCACTGGTTGCAACAAGTCTCACCTGACCCTCCATGATTTGTTCAGCTGGCTACCCGCAGGCCTAAGGTCCTAGTTTAGACCATCATAAAATTTGGAGTTATGTTACTTTTTTTTTTTTTTTTTTTTGCGGTACGCGGGCCTCTCACTGCTGTGGCCTCTCCCGTTGCGGAGCACAGGCTCCGGACATGCAGGCTCAGCGGCCATGGCTCACGGGCCCAGCCGCTCCGCGGCATGTGGGATCTTCCCGGACAGGGGCACGAACCCGCGTCCCCTAGCATCGGCAGGCGGACTCTCAACCACTGTACCACCAGGGAAGCCCTGGAGTTATGTTACTTTTAATTCCGGTTTGTATAACTATTTTAAGTTCTGTATTTTGTTTCCTGTAACACCTTTGTAAAACTGATGTGTCCAACAGGTAATGCTGGCTCAACATTTCAAAATGATCAGAATGGTCTGCAACGCTTATGACAGACTTTAGATGGTAAGTGCCTGAGATTTCTCCCTCCTACTCCTCCTTGTTACTTGAACATGACCTCAGTCGTTTCCAATCTGTGCACTTTCCCTTTAAGGTGGGACACAACACCCAGGAAAAGTCCTGGCACCAAGGGACAAAGGCCACTTTAGATGGAAAACCTGACTCTTGATCAGCGATGCTTTCAGAGAAAAGCAGAAAATGTCAAACTGAATAGAGGAAACCTCATTTAAAATAGCTGGGAGTCCAGAAGGGGGAACCCTCACACACTACCACAGGAAGCATCAACTACTCCCGTTAATTACATACTCCAACAGGAAAGCATCATTCACAGACCTACTAGGAGGGAAGATTTCCTGTTCACCCAGCAACTTTGCCTAGGAGGAACCATCACCACCTGAACTCTCACTTTCTACCAGGGGACTTTCTTCAGAACAACCCCTCCCAACTTCCTCCTTTTTCTCTGTAACAGAATGGGCCTCTCCTTTGCTGAACTTATCTATGGGTTTTCCTATAGTTCGCTTGTCTCGAATTGCAATTCCTCTGCTATTCCCAAATAAGCCCATTTTGCTGGTAAAATAAACGGCTGTTTTACTTTTATCTTAAAAGCTTCATGCCTTCCACCTTATTTTGCATGTCTCCAAAAGGAGACTGCCCACTTCATGTCAATGTGAACTTAAACTGTATCACCTAAATTATTTTCTTTAGTCGTTTTTTTTTTTTTTAACACTGCTGAGAAGAGGGCCTGGAAAGTATTCAGCATTTAAATTAGTGCACTGAAATCAGGTCTCCCTATTCTTTTGAAAACGTTTATGTCAGCTGTTTCTCCACTCTCCCAGGAAAGTTCGACTCGTCTTTTCCTATCACCCTCCCCTCACCTGGCAAAGGGCTCTGCGTCGCTGTGCGCTGCGTCCCCACGCCCAGCAGAGGGCAGCGGGCCTGCGGGGCGGCTTCACACGGACCGCGCCGCCGAACCCCCGCAGGTCGCCGTCTGGAATCCCTGTGGAGAAACACTAAAGTCCGTTACGCAGAGACAGCTAGGGCCCTCTCCTAGACGGTACTTACTTAAAGTGAAGCCCCTACGGCCACAAGGTCCCGCAGCTCCCAGAAGCGCCGACTTCCCCTTCCGCCCCGCCGCGCCCCCCCTTCCGCTCCGCCCAGATCCTCTTCCGTTTCCCCGCCCCCGACTCCGCACCGCCCGCTGCCCTCCGATCCTCCATGGCCCGTTACCTATGTTACGCGTCGGCTTTCTCCCGGCGACCCTGTGCCGCTCCAGGGCGGGCATCCCAGACAGAGCCCCCGTTGTTGGCCGGGTGCTCGTGCCGTGAGCGAGCCCTGAAAGCGGGCTCCTATCTGCCGAGCTTCGCGACGCAGGGCTGGGGCTGGTGCCCGGAAGCCCCGAAGTCCTGCGCTGTTTCAGGCTCCTGTGTAAACGTGGAAAGAGCGAAGGAGAAGGACCAGTTTAGGAGAATTTCGAAACGGGAGGGGAGAGGAAGTTATCTAGGCTGTGCCTTCTTACACATGTCATCTGTGTTATTGAGTGGAGAGAAGGCATTTTTGTGTTTTTTGTTTTTGCCAGAAAGCATATGCACCTCGTGTAGTAGCGTCATTGTAACGCTCAACAAGCTTAAAATTATTTGCCAATCCGAAGTGCTTTGGAAGGTAGCTGAAAAGGTGCTCAGGAGTTTGGAGGAAGGGGAACAAGTTTGGCAACTAGTGAAGATTCATGGAAGGTAGCACAGAAGATGACAGTTATGCATTTAAGTACAGTGACTAATACGCTGATAGACCAGTATTTCTTTTCTCTAATCGCACTTCACCCACAGAAGTGCCTCTTCACCCACAGCTATATAGTTAGAGTAGATGGGAATCTGCAATGACGTGTCAGTGGTGGTAGGCAGTGGGCCTAAATAACGAATTCTATTGCTATTTACTTGAATTTCATGTTGAAATTCCCTCACACCCCCTGCACACACACACACACACACACACACGTGTACATTTGTAATTAGCCTTGATAAATTGGAATCTACTATGAGGCTAAACCACAAAAAGTATTTATTTATTTAAGTGTCCTGAGAGGACAGGAAGGTGGGAGCTGGGAGGGCTGAGACCAGGATATCTGATACTTGCTTCCCATATCCTATAGAAAAAGTTTTCTATTCCAAGAGCTAGTCTTTCACATTTTTTTTATTTTCCAGTAGTGTTCTGGTTGCCCATCTGTATGAATAGCATTTCAGTGTACATTTACATACAACTTAGTGTAAAAATACCTTTTACTACAATAACCGTTGTGCCGAACTACAAAGTTAATGTGCTGTAATATTAGCATGTCAGTGCCTAGTCTAACTGCTGGCTCAATCTGCAAATATTGGATGGCCATTTCTTTAATCATTTGAGTTTTCATAAAATACATATCCAGTTATTCTTCCCCTCCTTCAGTTGACTTGCTGTTAAACTGCGTTTCTTCCTTTTACTCCATCTCATGTTCTACAGTCAAGACTTTTCAGTATCTACTCTTCTGAGAGATTGGCTCAAAATAGCTTTCAGTCTTGAGGCACATAAAATTTTCTGTCACAATTAGTTTTTTTCTGCATTTTTATAACAATTCCAAAAGACTTTTTGGACCTTAAAAAGTATTATGACCCAACTTTATATCTGGATAGGTCACCATTCATCCCTTTCTAAAGAGTTTGGATGTCCAAGAAAAACCCAACTGAGAGATAAAAGGAGATATTTTTATCAAATATGAAAAGCATCAAGTGACTATAACTTCTGTTTCTTTGCAATTTTCTTCTCTCCTCTGTCTCTTCCATGCCTTTCCCCTCTCCCTCTCTCTTTCTGACACTTCCTCACTTCCTAGATAGTAAGAGATATTCCCTCCCGTCTATTTTTAAAAGAGTGTAATTCTCTGTTGGCATTAGAAAAAAATGTTTTTTCTATTTAGGAATATAATGTTACTGTGCACATATGAAAATTTTAAAGAACAACAAAAACCTTCCCTAGTCCCATTCACAGAGATAACTGCTAATATTTGAGTATATTCTAAAAATATAAATTGATATAGTCTATCTATAGCAATATCTATATCTGATGGCCATATGTATATATATGTATGTATATATATATAAAGGAATATTATTCAGCCATAAGAAAGAAGGGAAGTCCTGCCATTTGCTACAATATGAATGGATCTTGAGGGCATTACAGTAAGTGAAATAAGTCAGAGAAAGATAAATACTCTATGATATCACTTATTTGTGAAATCTAAAAAAGCCAAAGTCATAGAAAAAAAGCTAAAGTCATAGAAACTGAGATCAGAAAGGTGGTTACAAGGGGATGGGGGATGGGGAAAATGGGGAGATATTGGTCAAAAGGTACAAAATTTAAATTACATAGGATGAATAAATCCTGGAGATCTAATGTATAACATGATGACTATGGCTAGTAATACTGTATTGTATACTTGAAATTTGCTAAGAGAGTAGATCTTAAATGTTCTCACCACACACACACACACACACACACACACACACACGGTAAATGTGAAGTGATGGATGTTAATTAGCTTGATTGTGGTAATCATAACACAATGTATACATATATTAAAGCATCACATTGTATACATTAAGTATATACAATTTTATTTGTCAATTATACTTCCATGAAGTTGGGGGGGGAAGGAAATAGGTTAATAACACCTTCAACTGTTGCTGTTGAATTGTGTTTTTCTAAGTCTGTTTCTCCCTTCAATTTTGTAAATTCTTCCTGTATTTTGTGGCTCTAACTTTAGGTAAACATGTGGTTATGAATGTTTTATCTTCCTAAGGGTGACACTGTTATCATTTTTAAAGTCCCTCTTTGTCTCTTGTAACATTTTTTAAAAGTCCAATTTGCTTTATATCAGCATACACATTCCAGCTTTCTTATTGTTACTATTTACATGATATATATTTTTCCATCTTATTACCTTCAACCTATTTGTATCTATAAATACAAATTTGTCCACTCTCACAACATATACTTGGTTCTTGTTTTTTTTTAACCAGTGTCACAATCTCTGTCTTTTTATTGGATTTTTTTAATTCACTCACATTTAATGTTATTATTAATATAGTTGATTTACACCTGCCATTTTACCTTTTTTTTTCTGTCTCATTTCTTTCTTTCCTTTATTTCTCCTTCATTTCTTAGTTTTGCATTAATGATTGTTTTCTCTTGTTACATTTTTTTTTTCCTTTTACAGTTTTTTCATTATTTGGGGGTTATTTTCTTAGTGGTTGTTCTGGGGTTTGCCATATACATCTTACCTTATCAGAGTCTACTTCAGATTTATACTAACTTAATTCCAGTAACATATAGAAATGTTACTCCTATAGAGTTCTTTTTTCTGCCTTTTGGTTCCATTATTATTATACATACTGCATTTATAAATGTTACAAACTGCACAGTACATTGTTATAAGTGTTAATTTATATAGTTGTATATCTTTTAAAAAAACTGAGAGAAGAAAAGAGCAAATGTATATTTATAGCATTTTATTATATTAACCTTATTTATCATTTATGGTTCTCTTTAAGATTTGAGTTACCATCTAGTATCATAGCCTTATTCCAATACAGCTTTGCTCCCACCAATCTCCTCTGTGCTATTATTGGCAAATACATTACATTTCTATATGTTATAGACCTACTTCTATACATGCCGTTTTACATAATTGCTTTTTAAATCAACTAAGAGAAGAAAGGAGAAACAATACACATTCAATGTTTTATCATTACATAATTATTTTATCAGTATCTTTTTTCTTTTTTTCATATGGTTTCCAACTACTGTCTGAGGTCACTTGCTTTCAGCCTGAAGAGGTTCTCCTAGTATTTCTTGTTAGTTGGATTCACTTACAATGAATTTTTTTCAGTTTTTGTTTAACTGACATTGTCTTTATTACAGCTCCATTGTGCTGCTTTCAAATTTTTCTCTTTAGACAAAGATGTCTTTAGACAAAAATGTCTTTGAACATTTAACTATCATGTTGCTGGGTAGCTCTCTTTGTGCTTTTCCTACTTGTAGTTTGTTGAGCCTCTTGGATGTGTAGATTAATGTTTTTTTATCAAATATGAGAAATTTTCATGATTTCTTTGAATAAGTTTTTGCAGTTTTGTTTGCTTGTTTCTTTCTCTCTCCTTTCTCTGCTCTGGTAATCCTATTATGTGTATGTTGGTGAGCTTAGTGATGTTATGCGTTTCTCTTAGGCTCTGTTCATTTTTCCTTCATTCTTTTTGTCCTCTCTGTTTTTTTGGATTGTATACTCTCTATCAACCTTTCTTTATATTTGCTAATTTTTTCTTCTGCCAGTTCGATTCTGCGGTTGAGCCCTGTAGTGATTTTTCTTTTTTTGGTTATTGTATTTTCAATTTTAGAATTTCTATTTGTTTCTTTTTTGTAATTTCTCCTTTTTGATATTCTCTCTTTGGTGAGGCATTATCATTGTACCTTCCTTTAATTCTTTAAGCATGATTTCCTTTGATTCTTTGAAGATATTTGTGAGAGCTGCTTTGAAGTCTGCTATGGTCAACATCTGGGCCCCCTCAAATAAAGTTTCTATTGCCTGCTTTAAAAAAAAAAACAAAACTGTGTATGTGTCACCGTTTCCAATTTCTTGCGTGTCTCCTTTTTTTTTAACTTTACATTTTAGGTAATATATTGTAGTAACTCTGCATATGATTCTCCCTCACCCATTTGGTGCTTATCATTGTTTGCTTGTTTATTTCTTTAGCTACTGGTGCTGCTATCTTAGTTTGAAGGCTCTGACGTTGCTCCTAAGAGAGTACTGCAAACGTTGCTGAGATGATAGTGGTTTTAGCAGGGCTTTCTTTGTCTCTTTCCCTGATCACACCCAGATGTTAGACTCCTTCAATTTCTGGCTGATCTGCTGTATTGTTTTATAGTGCCCTTGGGCATAAATTGCTCCACAGTTTGATGCAATTAAATTTGGGCCTCATTTTAGGGGTAGTGTCTGAAGCCAGTGTATGAAGATTGCTCTGACTCCAGGAGTGATTTTCTTGGGCATCTCTTTCCCTGTTTCCCTCTAGCAAACTTGCTGGCCAGCCTTTTAGCTTGGCATTCTCACTCCCAACAAACAGCTCCATTGTTTCTAAGAGCACCCTTAGGTTTGACCTTTCCCACACTCTATTTCATATAAAGTTAGCTTATCTGGTAGAGCTTCAGAAATTTCTGTTCTAAAGGCCTATCTGTCCTCCTGAGGAAAAAAAATCTCTGACTTCTCTATGTATGGTATCTTTCCCTCAGGAGGAAGGCGCTAAGTGTAGGCAGTAGCCTCTGGTCCTCTTGGCTTGCCTCTCCTATAGTGAAACCT